GGAGATCATCACATTTGTATTAACAAAGTACATAAATATCAAAATAACAACAGTGGACACACACACATATATATATAAAACTTAACATAATACTAAAATAATATCAGAAAAAAAAAAAAAAAAAAAATCTTACGAATGTATCAAAAAATTATTCAAATAGACGAATGAGATCCACTGTGTATACATTTTGTTGCGATAATATCCTGTCACCTTCGTGCACGGCGACAGGCGACAGGTGACGGGTGACAGGTGACAGGCGAAGTTATCGCTCTCAGAGACAAACATCAAAGTTATCTGTTTTGTGACAGAAAATATGTATGTAAATGTACATAGCTATAGGAAATGACGATGACAAAGAGAAGCTACAGTTGAAGGACAGTACTTTAGTGTCAGTGTCACCTCGCGAGATAAGTTTGACATTTATTTACAAATGATTCCATATTGATTTGATATAAACAAATTGACAGGAATGTTTTGTTTTCACATTTTGGCGTGTTTCAGATTTCTAATTAAGATGAAGTTGGCACAAGACAACAAACACATGAAACGCAGAGCTCACATTATGTACTTATTTATATATCACATTGTTATGTACTACACGAATCATATATAAAGATGAATTCAATTGATTTATGATTAAATATATAGTAATGTACACTGACAAAACTGGTCTGAACCGGTTACAACCGATTTCACAAACCGGTTTCAACTAGATTTTTTATTAACTAAAATTACATTTTACATTAATGTCAGTCTACGGAAGATCTTCTATCAAGATATATGCAATTATGTGACATTAAATTCCTCAATATTTCTAAATGAGATTAAGTTTATATATAGCAGCCTTATCATTTGTTCAATTTATATATATATATATATGTGTGAGGTGGTTCTTCACTCGCTGTCGGCTTTCGTTGACTTTTCGCTCGATCCTTTTCTAAAACCCAATGCCTCAGAATTTGCTGAAAACAGAATAATAATATAAACAGGAATACTTATCTCTACAATAGTCACGTGATACAGTTAAGTGTTTGTTGTGTGTACATACATCTGAGCGAGGCGGGGTCCAGCGAGGAGTTCTCCAGCAGGCTGTAGTCGTTCCTGATGCCTATGACTGGTGCGGGGGGCGAGGAGCGCGCGCCGTGGTTCCAGCCGGAGTGCTGCGGCGCCAGCTTTATGT